TTCTCCCTTAGTGTCTATGAGGAGAGTGAGGAGGACGACTGGTAATAGGATGGGAGGGGTGGATGGAAGGGAGGTGGAGGGGAGGTGGAGGGGTTAGCAAATACGTAAGGCTGATGGAAAGGTGGATGGAGGGGAGGTGGAGGGGTTAGCAAATGCGTAAGGCTGATGGAGGTGGAGAGGCTTTGTGGAGGGATTGGTGGAGATAAGAGGTGGTGGAGAGATTTGAGGAGGGTTGGAGGTGGAGAACTGAAGTGGCGCGGGTGGAGGGGAGGATACAGGAAAGTGGAGAAGGAGTGAGGGTACACGCACAACCTTGAATGGTTCTTGGATCAGGGTAAGGCCGGGCAGAGAACTTGCCCTGTCCTGTGTGTGGCAGCACCTGACATGGGCACACGTCTTGGCCCTCCTTTTATACCCGGTGTGGCATCGAGGGGCACCTGAGTGGCCCGTGGCACCTTTAAAATGCCTCTGTTCATTGCATACTTACGACACTTTTTCATCCCTCTGGCGCTTTATTATCTATATTTGTGTCTGATAGATATAGTATAAGCGAGGACGGATGGACGAAAGCAATAAATACTTACATAGGCACTTCCCCTAACATATGAAAGCAAAACACAGAGGACAAAGAAAATATCAAAATGAAATACTCTCTATTGAAAACATGTTCACAAAGGACAACTCTGCCCTGTGAGCCCTTTGTACTGTTTATTTACCGCATTGTACTGGATGTACGCATAGTGCATAGAGATCATTTCATATTTTGTTAAGCAGTAGACGATAACTACTTTAGTGCGTTTTTTTTCGCTAACATTATCCCATGCGTTGAATCTAGCCATGGATCACTCATTTACAGTATCAGGCTTTGCAAAAATAACAGCAAATAAATATCAAGCATGCATTTTGATAAAAGACCTTTCAGACAGATTTTCAATTGGACAACCTACGCCAGCGTTGTATGGGAATAAAAACAAATTCAGTCACACTATTAAACATACAGCTGCACAAACCTTGCTACATGCAACGTGACATGCCGATGTATTTCACTTGCAACCGAATACGTAGAGCTGTAATCAGAGTACCTCTTGATAGGTGCTCGCAAAAAAATATCAAACACAATGCCAAACGTACAGTGAATGCAATGGGAACGATGGCACGAAACACGATTTTTTTTTTGCACAGCATACAAGTCAGCAACAAAAGCAGAACACAACACACAATTTCAGTACGAAAAATGTAATCATCAACTCTCCAGAAAATCTAAAATGGTCAGATAACAAACACACTTTGTACCAATACACTTTTGTTGGCAGATCTGAGAAAGGAAGAATAGAATGAAAAAGATGTACTTGATGCGCTGTCCATAAAATAAATAAAAGGCAGATGACATAAAAGCTTGTGAAATAGAAGCGTAGAACGAGAAAAAATAATTGAAAGAAACTGATACAAATATCTTGTGACAAACTTACATAAATTACGTTTAAAAACATGGAAACAGTTTTCGTATCCAATTGCATCTGTAACATTTCCATTAATGAAAATCCTCTCTTAGCGAGTATAGCATTAACTTCGTCATTCAACAGACAATTGTAACTAAGTGAGATCAAACCTCATGAGTTTTTCAAAAGTGTCTCGTCTGTGTTTCATTCCTCCTTGATAAATCAGTTTAATTTATTTCTGTTCATCCTCCACATCCTTTTTGTTCTCCCATTTCTGTTGTACTCTCTCGCCTCATTGCAATTGATCCCCTCCCCTTGCATTCATTAGTTTCTTGCCCTTTCGCATTTTCACTTGCTTTAACCTTTCCTTCTTCCCTTTTCGCCATCAGCAGTTGCCTCGATTGAAAATGCATTTCCCCGTGCACCAGGGAAAGAAATTCTGAACAGTACACGAGCGGTCGCCAAGGAAGGAAAGCCAACAAGACGCCATAGCTCGTTCGCCTGTTTTTCAGCTTTAAAATCTGCTCTTGAATAATGCTTGCTTGATTGCATCTGATCAGCACTTGAGGTCTTGCATCGCTTACTACAAGCACCTCCGGCAGCCTGGTTCTTCGGCCTCCGACTTCGATCTTCGGCCAAAGTAGTAACACGAATATATACTTTTGAATATTGAACATATTTTTTCTCCTAGGTGACGGGAAAATCAAATGGTATTTTCACTTAATGAAATATTGCTTAGAACCTTGAATGAAACCAATTAATATCATCGAGACATGATTACATTTATTTGCTTTCTCTCAGCATCACCATGTACTTCCACCAGACTCCCAAACAGCGGACACGCCAAACACCCGACAAAGCCAAGCAAACCAAACATCACAGACCCCTCCTAAGCAGTAACAACCTCAAGGAACCTCACCTCGACAGCGTCCACCTCGACAGCCAAGGGGGAGGGGACGCTGCAGCCATTCAAATTGAACGCAAAGTCACTTGGCACTCGGCGAACGCAATTCCGCCCTCACTTGTTACACTCACCCGGCGTCTCTAACAGGGAGTGGGGCGATGAAGATTTTTTAAAATATAGAAGTCGTGCTTCCTTCCATATGCAGAGTGAGAGCGAAGGAAAGGGAGAGAGAAATATAACAGAGAAAGACAAATAAAAGATGGAGATGGGAGAGAGGTTTGACAGAATGTACTAACGATTGAAAGTACTGTTATTTTGCTGATAATGGAAATTGTGTTAATAATTATGCTTTTCATAACGAAAAGAACTGATGATGTCATAATAATTATGCTTTTTATGATAATGATGGTGATGATAATTAAGGCGTCAGGTATAACAGCAGTAGTAATAATAATGACTATTGTCAATAATAATAATAGTAATGATAATAATTATAATAAAATGGGAACCATAATAATGATGATCAATAATAATCATAATGATAATAATAATGATAATAATAATGTTAATAATAACAACATCAATACTACTACTACTACTACTACTACTACTAATAACAATAATAACAGTTACTGCAGTGATACTTATGATGATGATGTTATAACTCTATGACACTAATGATCATAACTATTGTAATGATAATAGTAACGATAATGATAATAATCATAATGATAACAACAATAGTAATAATGATAACGATAACAAAACAACAACAGAAATAATAACAACCATAACAATAATAGTAATAATAATAATAATAATAATAATAATAATAATAATAATAATGATAATGATAATAATAATAATAATGATAATAACAATATTAATGATGATAATAATAATAGTAATGGCAATAATAATGATGAGAATAGTAATTATAATAACGATAATAGCAATGAGGATAATAATAATTTTAATAATAATAATAATATTAATAAAATAACAATAATAATAATAAAAATAATAATAATAATAATAATAATAATAATAATAATAATAATAATAATAATAATAATAATAATAATAATAATAATAATAATAATAATAATAATAATAATGATAATAATAATGATAATAATAATAATAATAATAATAATAATAATAATAATAATAATGATAATAATAATGATAATAATAATAACAACAACAATAATAATAATAATAATAATAATAATAATAATAATAATAATAATAATAATAATAATAATAATGATAATAATAATAATAATAATAATAATAATAATGATAATAATGATAATGGTAATGTTAATAGTAATACAACTACAACAACTAGTACTACTACTAATGAAACTGAAAATGTTAAGGATGTGATACTTAAGAAAAAGAAGGGAAAGAGGATGGTGATAATAATAAAAACAAACACAATATAACAATAATAATATCAATAGCAAGAATGACACCACTAGCGAGAATGCCAAAGCTAGTGTCAACAAAAAACGTCGTTACATGCGACGTTACCAACAACAACAAAGGGGATACTTTGTGATCCTTGATTTATAATGGAAACTAAACATCCACCAACGCGCACTGCACGAAGCTAATGTTGATTTAAGGCGAAAGCAAATCATTAGACAGTCACACACCTATTCGCATGTTTCTGCTTTTATTCTTTGAATACAATCCCTGTTTTCATTGTTCAGAAGCATGTGTATACACTTAGATGCACGTGGATATTTACATATAACAAACGGAAGCCTAAATTTAAGTTTGCACGTGTACACACATACATAAATACATACACACACACACACACACACACACACACACACACACACACACACACACACACACACACACACACACACACACACACACACACACACACATACACGCACACATAACCAACCAACCAAACAAACAATGGAAAAGCAGTCGCGTTGTATAGACAGTCATATTGCCATAATCAAACATTATTAGGCCTCTGACATATTGCATACAGCCGTCACCTTATATATCCATCGCAGAGATCGTATCTGGCAACTGTTGCCAGAAAGTAAACTTGTACATCAACCGAACCTGACAACAATGGTATTAAAGGGTATATAAACACAGCCGCGTCTTGGAACCGAAACGATGGGTTCCCCGTTTCCAGAAGGAATTTCCGGCATCGGATACAAGAGACGTCGGGCAACATAGTGCCTCCTTATGGCTATAGATATATGTCTTACACATAGTATGTTTGCCTCCTAGACTGTATACACAGCTGTTACCCTTATCCTTATGTCTGCTCATACATTTAGTAATAACGATTATGAATGTTATGAGATGACTTTCAGGTTTTCAAATAAATGGAGTGCAGAAAAAAGGCATAGGTTTTCTTCGTGGTACAGTTTTTACTTCTGATTTTGTTTACACCTGATTTTCTTTTCTATATTTTTAATTCGCAGTTATTAGGTTATTATGTCAGCTTTGTGTTCTTGTTCGCCTAATATGGGAGTAGGTAAGGCCTTGCATGTTATAGCTTCGCCATATATATCTATAATTTTCTTTTACAATTTCCCCATTCATTATTATTCTGCTTGTCTTTTTTGTCTATTTGTTTTCTCCATTTGAACGACCTAATCCGTTTCGCTTCC